CATCCAGCCAGTATGTCTTTTGAGAGGGTAGTTCAATCCATTTACATTAGAGTTGTTATTAAAAGGTACTGTCAAATTCCGGGCATTTAATTGCTTTGGTACAGTTGTCTGAAGTATCTTAGAAAAAATAAAATATCTTAGAAAAATAAAATGTCTTAGAAAATATCTTAGAAAAGAAAAAAATTCTTTTTCTTTTAGGGTTGTCTTCAGTGTTTGTTGGTTTTTTGAGGTGTTTTGATATAGTTGTTTTCCTCTTTGTTATTTACATATTTGTTCTACCAGTGGGATTTGTTCTTTCTCATGTATTCATGGTAGTCATTATTGCTTTTTTGGATTCCAGATACAGGACTCCCTAGAGGATTTTTTTGTATGTCTGGTCTTATGGTGGTGAACTTCCATAGCTTTTGTTCATCTGGGTTATTTCCCCTTCAGTTCTGAAGGATAGCCTTGTTGGGTATAGTATTCTTGGCTAGCAGGTTTTTTTTCTTTTTGTACTTTGAATGTATCATCCCAGTCCTTCCTAGCAAGCCGGGTTTCTGCTGAGAAGTCTGCTGTTAATCTAAAGGGGACTCCTTAGAGGTGACTTGACACTTTTCTCTTACTGTTTTTAGGATTTTCTGTCTTTGACTTTTGACAATTTGACTACAATGTGTCTTACAGAGAACCATTTTGTGCTGAATCTAGGGGATCTTTGAGTATCTTGGATCTGGAGGTCCATATCTCTACCAATACCTGGGAAGTTTTCCACTATTATTTCATTGAATAGTTTTTCATTGCCTTTTTCTTTTTCCTCCTCTTCTGGAACACCACGATTCATATGTTTGTGCTCTTAAAGTTGTTGGAGAGCACTTAAAGATTTCCTTCAGTTTTTAAAATTCTTTTTTCTTTTTTCTCTCTCTCTCTTTTTTTCCTGCTTGGATTATTTCAAAAAGACTGTCTTTGAGGTCAGAAATTCTTTCTTCTGTTTCCTCTAGCCTTCTGCTTAAGCCCTCAATTTTAGTTTTTATTTAATTGAATGAGTCCTTCAGTTACAGAAGTTCTGCTACATTCTTTTTTATGGCCTTATCTCTATCTAAATTTCCTCCTTCAGAGGTGAAAGATCTCTATAATAAGAACTACAAGCCACTACTGAAAGAAATTAAAAATGACACAAAAAGGTGGAAAGACATTCCATGCTCTTCGATGGGAAGAATTAAAATTGTGAAAATTCCATTCTACCCAAAACAATCTATAGATTCAATGAAATCCCCATCAAAATACCAATGACATTCTTTGCAGAAATAAAAAAAGCATTCCTAACATTCATATGGAATAACAAAAGACCCCAAATAGCCAAAGCAATCCTGAGCAAAATAAATAAATAAATAAATAAATAAAATAAAGCCAGAAGCAAACACAACCAAATTTCAAATTATATTACAAAACTATACTAATCAAAACAGCATGGTACTGGCATAAAAAAACAGACCAATGGAACAGAATAGAAAACTGAGGAATCAACCCACATAATTACAGCTAAATGACCTTTGACAAAGCAACAAGAGCATACATTGGGGAAAAGACTGTCTCTTCAATAAATGGTGCCAGGAAAATTGGACAGCCATATGTAGAAGAATGAAACTGGACCTATACCTCTCACCATATGCCAAAATCAACTCAAAATGGATGAGAGACCTGAAACCATAAAATTATTAAAGGAAAACATAGGGGAAAGAATCTTGGAAGCAGGACTGGTCAAAGACTTTATGAATAAGACCCCAAAAGCACAAGGAACAAAAAAAGAATGAACAAATGGGATTATATCAAACTAAAAAGCTTCTGCACAACAAAGGAAACAATCAACAGCCCAGGAAAACAACCTACAAAATTGGAGAAAACATTTGCAAACTATACATCTGACAATGGTTTAATGTCCAGAATATGCAAAAAACTCAAACAGCTATACAGTAAAAAACCAAATAATCCAATCAAAAAATGGTCTAAGGAGACAAATAGACATTTTTCAAAGGAAGACATACAAATGGCCAACAGGTACTTGAAAAAATGCTCTACATCACTAGTCATCAGAAAAATGCAAATCAAAACCACATTGAGATATCATCTCAGCCGTCAGACTGGTCATTATTAAAAAGACTGTGAATAACAAATGCTGGTGAGGAGTACTCTTCTTCACTGTTGGTAGAACTGTAAATTAGCAAAGCCATTATGGAAAACAGTATGGAGGTTCCTCAAACAAATATAGATAGAGCTACCACATGACCCAGCCATCTCACTACTGGGTATATATACAAAGGAATGGAAATCATTGTGTCGAAGGGATACGTGCACTCTCATGTTCATCATAGCTCTATCTACAATAGCAAAATTTGGAACCAACCTGTGTCCTTTGACCGATGACTGGATAAGGAAAATGTGGTATATATATACAATGGAATACTACTCAGCTGTGTAAAAGAATGAAATTCTGCCATTTGCAGTGACATGGATGAGCTTGGAGAAAATTATGTTAAGTTAAATAATCCAGACTCAGAAAGAGAAATACCACATGTTCTCACTTACAACTGGGTGCTAAGAATGAAGGAAAGAGAGAAAGAGAGAGACAGAGAGACAGAGACAGAGACAGAGAAGGAAAGAAAGAAAAGACCACAACAATTCATTGAACTTTTAGAAGGAGAGAACAAACCTAGGGTTACTAGAGATTGAGGGAAGGAAGGGAGGGGGTGTAGGGAGGGACAGGTCAGGTAAAGGGCATAAAGAGAAATCATGAGTTGTAAAAATGAATATGTTAATTTTAAAAAGAGAAAAAAATAAATTTCCTCATGTCCTGGATTGTTTTTCTCATTTCATTGTTTTGTTTATCTGAATTTTATGGTATCTCATTGAGTTTCCTTAAGACTGTTGCTCAGAATTTTTTTTCAGATATGTCAAGGGTTTGCTGCTGTTTAGAGTCTGGTATTTGAGAATTATTGTATTCCTTTGGTGGAGTCCTATTTTCTTATTTTTTCATATTTCTAGTATCCCTACATTGATGTCTGGTCCTCTGGTGAAGCACTTGCTTCTATTGCCTGGGATGGCTTTTGAGGAAAGAGCCTCTGTCTTGTAGATTTGTTTTATATTGCCTGTTGAGTGGCATGCATTAGTTTAGGTTCCTGCTAGACTCAATAATCTCAGTAGTTGCAGGTATTCTCAGTTTTTCTGGATAGGCTTACTAGTTTTAGGTAGACTCAGTGGGTCTGGGGGGTCCTGGCAGGTGTGACTGCAGCTGAGGATGGCTGGGTCCACAGCATGGGTTTCTGGTAGCCATGGACACACAGCACAGGGCTCCAGTGGCTGGTGCTAGGTCTGTGTGGTGGCTGGGGCTGGGTTCATGCAGCACAGCGCTCTGGTAGCCACATATGGGGCTCCAGAAGCTGTGGGCTGGGTGATGTGGGGCTCAAAGAGTGTGGCTGAGTGGTGTGGGACTGTGGTGTCTGTGGTCATCTGAGATGGGGCTTCAGCAGCTGGGAACACTTCTGCAGGTGGCATGGGCTATGCAGTGGGGTACACTGATAACCCCTTTGAGGAGCAGGACAAACTTCTATGGGGGGGAGACGGTCCATGGCCCTGGGACTAGAAATCAGTGCATGTGATCATGTGGTTGTGAGCGCAGGCTGAGGCATGAGCAAGAGGAGGGTTGCTTTTGGGAAGTTCTCACATCTGAATAGTTCTTTTTGCTATGGGGAGAATTCATTCTGCACCAGTGCTAGCTCTCCATTACTCTCTCTGGACCCTTTCTGGGGAGGATCATGCAGTGAGCACCTCTAGTCCACCTTTCTGGACTCTGTTTTTGAATGTGCAACAGTTATTATTTCCTTTTCTGGGCTCTCAAAGGAGGTGTAGTTCAGGCTCCAGGATCTGACATCCAGGTCCCAACCCCAATTTCCAGTTCACCCACCCAGCAGGTGCTAAGCCAGGCTGGATGGAATTTTTTCTTTCCTCTCTTTCTTCCCATATCCTGACTTTCTTATCTTGCTTGCTAAAGAGAAAGACAAGGCTGAGGAAGCTAGTCAGTATTTTGCAGATTAATAGTTATTCTTTGAAACTGCAGGGTTTTGTGAAGTGATCAAGTACAAATGTGTGGGAGCTGACCCTGAGCACCAGCAAGTCAGCCAGAGCTCTGCAGAGCTGTGAGAAAACTGCACAGAAGCTGATTCCACTCTAGAGCAAATCAACGTCCTGCAGGGCCCTGAGATAACACCAAAGATGAGAACGGAAACCAGATGAGTCCTTGGAGAGACTTTGCACTTGATTCCTAGACACGGAGCCCTTGTATCGAAAGTCCCCTTTTCTCCTACTTTTCACTTCCCATGCTCCATTCCCTCACCCACCTCTTTAAAAAACCCTCAGTAAATCTACATCTTTGAGGTGTGAGAGCCTACCATCTTCTTCAGATGAATACACTGCCCTTCTATAGCATCAACCATTTTACTTCTGAGTCATTTGTCTTCTTTCCTCCCTAAGGGGACGGGCACTTAGTCTTGGGTCCAGTAGCAATATCATATTGAATGGACAAAAATTGGAAGCTTTTCCTCTAAGATCCGGAACAAAACAAGGATCCCACTTTCCCCACGCTTATTCAACACAGTACTGGAAGTTCTAGACAGTGCAATAAGGCGAGAGAAAGTGATAAAGGGCACCCAAATCAAAAAAGAGGAAGTCAGACTATCCCAATTTGCAAATCACAAGAGACCAATTAAGTTGAAAACAAATGAAATTATTTAAATAATAGAAAATGTCTTTAAATATAACCCTGTATGGAATAACACAAATTCTCTAAAAAGATGCTATAAGGAATATTTAAGTGTGTAAAAGAAATATTCATATACTATTAGAAACTAGACCCCCAAAAAAGCTTACAAAAGAGAATATAAAGTAAAACATTTAAAAGATATGAAAAAATAAATGCATTAAAAACTAAAAAAAATTATGAAAGGAAATAATGAAATATTTTGAAAGCTCACCTTACAAGTGCTTGTATCACAGCATGTCCCAGTGCCACACTCTGCAAATCCGATCAGAGTACAATCTACAGGATTACAGCATTTTTTATGAGAGCATTCCTAAAAGTGCATACAATCAAGTTAAACATAGAAATTTTTAATCAAATATATAATTTCATACATTTTCAAAATATACTAAGTCGTGTCTCTAACTTAATTACAATCACAATATGACCATTGACTTCAGTATTTATTTGAAATACAATCAAGTTAAACATAGAAATTTTTAATCAAATATATAATTTCATACATTTTCAAAATATATTAAGTCGTGTCTCTAACTTAATTACAATCACAATATGACCATTGACTTCAGTATTTATTTGACACCACTCCAGTTAAACTTAATATATATTCCCTGTAGGAACAAAAAAAAGATGGTCATAAAATTACACATAATTTCAATTTCAAATTGATTTGTTAAAAATTTAATGCAATTCCTTTCTTTTTTTCTCCATAAAAATATGTGCTATAACTTTTATATTAATTAATTTATTTATTATAATCATAGGTACTTTCTACATCAAGTCTTCTCAAGATATTATTTTGGGAATATTAACAATTTATGGATATAACAAGATAGATATTTCTAAATTGTAACAATATTGTATTACTGTAAATGGTGTTTCAAAGAAAAGATGTCATTATTTTTAGCTTCAAGATTTTATATTAAACATTAATTTTAGAAGTTATTAAATAACTACATAGATACAAATAATAGAATACAAAAATATTAAGTGCTCTTTATGATATAACCTTATTACCTTCTACACGGTTATCTATTTAGTGCAAGAGTAATGTTTCACAAGACTAATAGTAATATAGAAAAATTAGTAAAATAGCCAAAAAGAAGTGTTATGTTTGTTTCAATTCTATAATTTTTATAATTAATGCTTTGAAAATTTTATGTAACTGCACATTCTAATTTAGTTAGTATTCCTGTGCCTATATTCCTGTTAAGCTGTTTCTCTGTTTATTTCCTTTATCCTAAAGCACTTTTATATTAACAATATTAACCCCAAACCAATAATATATTTTACTATGTTTTATCATTTCTTATGACACCTTGATTTTTTTGTTGGTAACTTTTGGTATTTTGATGCTGTGAAATTTTGAACTTTTATTATGTCTGAGAACTATGATCTTTTCTTTTTGATTTCGTTCTTTGAGTTTATGGATAATAATTTTCCCCTTTCTAACCCCGGAAAATTTGTAGGTTTTTAGTGTGTGTGTAATGTATTTGTGTTATAAGGAACACTTGGCTCAGGCTTGTATAATTGTTGGGCCATGTATATTATCATGGATGACAAGGAACCAAAGATTCTAATTAATACAAATCTTTGAAAGCAAATTAAAATAAATGAAGTTACCACAGATGCAAGGACTGAAATTAGAAGATGAGAAATTAAAGAACATGCACATTTAATATCTTAGTGAACCAACGTGGTCACTTTGGAGCTGTTCGGGAGATAATTTAGGTGACAATTATATTATTAAGACTACTGATGTGTACAGTATTGAAAAGTGATATTACTACTGATGATCATGCAATGAGGAAAATCTCTTTCTTTCATCCATGCCACACTTACCCCGTACTTAAACTCTTCAAATGCCTCAAATTCAGAATGAGTCGGTTATAACATGCCCCTTTTCTCCCAATGTTACATTTGATAAAACAGTGCAGCATTTAAAAAATGGTCTTCCCCTTTTATACCACATCTGTATCTATCGACAACATGAGAAACACAAAAACAAATCTTTGAATAACTTATTAAATTCTGTCACTAACCTTTGGTGGGCCACAGTCACATTGCTCATTAGATTCCACAATTCTATTGCCACAAAGTGGATTTTTTCCTTGATAAGTCACTTTTGAAACTGGTTGATTCTGAAGACACTCAAGTTCAGGCTGTGAAATTATCTGCTTAAATCCGTCTATGCTGCAGCTGCTAAAAAACTTTACTCCACGAGATTGTCTAAAATTAAATTACATTTCTAGGTAAATGGAATTAATGTATCAAGGTAACACTCTTCAATAAAGTGCTGTGAATTCTGGGCTACCTCACTTTGACAAGTGCCAAGGAGGGGAGAGTGCTTTTAATTTTAACACCAGTCATAAACAAAAGCAGTAAGTTCATTTCTATTGGAATTTGATTAATGGATGTCTAGAAAGTAGAGGAAGCTAGAGTGGCAAAATACTTAATGCTTGGCACACAATAAGCTTTATTTGAGCATATTCCCTTATCATCAACATCATCACTATTATAAGAAGCTCCAATGATCATTAAGAAAATGAAACATACTAGAAAATTTATGTGTAAAGTATCAAAGAATAAAAGATGATTGATTATGTTAAAAATAATGATTATCTGTTCTTTGGTAACAAAATTCATCAAATAATTTCAACACTGAGGTATATAAAGTGTACAAGTCCTACATTCTTTTTTTTAAAATTATACTTTTTGAATTTCTATACTTTTAAGTATACTGTTTCATGAGTTTTGTTTAATTTTATAACAATCTCAAACTTACAGAAATGTTGCAAATACAGTCCAAAAATACATGTAGTTAAGAGTAAGATGCCAACACCATGTTCCTCTAAAAGCAACTTACTTTACACACATATTGTTTTGTCAGTAGATTGACCTCGCCTGCTGGTACTTTGGGAGTGTTCCAGTTTGGGGAACTTGTGGTATGCTTTTGAGTTTTTGTTTGTTTTTAGTTTTATTCTTTACTTTGTCAGAGAATTTGGAGAGACTAAAATACCATGCTGATTCTTTAAAAACTTGGCTTCCAACCTCTCCCTTATACTTAAAAAACATTTCTTCCTAGGTAAGAATATGCTATCTTGGTTTTTACTCTAAAATTTTCTTCCTTCCAGGTCCCACCTCATGTGCCTGTAAATATAAGTACTCAAAACTTTATCTCAGGGCACCTCTTTTTATTCTATAATATTTTTCAAAATTATCTTTTTATGTTTCTAGTTCCCACCCATATGCTGATAGCTTGCATACTTTAGATCTCTTGCCTTCTGAGATAGGGACCTATTTAACTAACTGCACACTTAAAAACTTCAACTGATAATTCAAAATATCTTAGATTTAGCATATACAAAGCATCTTCAAGATTTCCTCCCATTTTTTTCCTTTCCTAAAATATTTGCCTTTATCAATATTTGTTACGAAGTTGTAACACCCAAAAACTTATAAATAATTCTTTACATCTGTCTTCTTACTTAATAAATTAATGTAGATTAGTATGAAAGTTATCATCTTTGAAATATCAGTTTGCTGTGATTTATTTTACACTTATTTTACAAGATAAATTTTTATTATCCAACTTTTTTAATTGATTAAAATGTGTGTTGTTACATTATCATAAAATCTAAACTCCCACATCAAGAATGCATGATCAGGCTCTTTCCTACATTTCCTACTTACCTCTTGACACTTCCCAGACTCATGGCTCTTTAGCCTCATTATATTTCACTTTCTTTTCCCTGTGCCTAAGATATTCTTCCTATAGTACCAACCATTTCTATTTTTCTATTTTTTTAAAATTGTTCACCCCACCACACCCAGAAATCTCCCTATTTCATGTCTGTTGAGCTTTTCAAACTTCTTACTATCCAATTATCGTTTCATTTCTGACACTGAAAAATTTTTAAACAACTCTGACAAGACTCCAGTAAGCCCCAGAAATTCATTATTAACATCCACCTTTCTATACAATAACACTGAATATAGACATACTAAGCACATTTTCTACAACATCTTATACTCATTCTCCTTAAGTAGCACTCATTCTCTTCAGTAAGCACATATGTATTTAGTAAAAATATTATTACTAAATATTAACATCCACCTTTCTATACAATAACACTGAATATAGACATACTAAGCACATTTTCTACAACATCTTATACTCATTCTCATTAAGTAGCACTCATTCTCTTCAGTAAGCACATATGTATTTAGTAAAAATATTATTACTAAAGTTACATTGCAAGAGATTATACATCAAGGAATACTACAAGCATTTCCCAAGAGAAGACACAGATTTGATAAAAACAACAGCTTACATTGCTTCAGGATTCATTATGCATGTAGTTCCCAGACAGTAACAGTTGTAGATGTCATCATAGGTTAATCCCAGATTAATTCCAAGCAACTGTACCATAACAACTGAAAATGCCTCTAAAGTTATTGTCTTTGGATACTAAATAGAAAAAAAAAAAGAAAAACAGAATTAGGCTGAAGTTATTTCTTACCCTTTCGCTCTTGTCATGCTTTTCTGTCTAGACTGCCTAAATGGAAATGCTTATTTAAGAAATGCCTATACCAAAACTAGCTATTTTCATAGAAATATGGGGGGCGGTAAATTTTGTTATTCTTTTTGATCAAATCGTTTTTCTTCATCTACTGATAGGATCATATGATTTTTCTTCTTTAGGCTATTAATATAATGAGTTACGTTAACAAACCTTCAGATGATGAACCAGCCTTATATACCTGGAGTAAATTACGTGTACAAGTATCAAGGAGAACATAGAAACTAAAAAAAAAATCTACAAAACTTCTGGACCTGAAAGCTACAATAAATGAACTAACAAATGTACTAAAGGGATGAAAGAAATTCAACCAAGAATATTATATTTTGCAAAACTAAACTGTCATTCAAAAATGGTGAAGAAATTAAGATTTTTCAACATAAACAAAACCTTTGCAATTTTATTACCAGTAGAGTATTTATCTACAATAAATGCTGAAGGAGTCCTTCAAATTGAAAAGAAAGGGCACTAGATAGCAACATAAAACCATATGAAAATGATAGAGTTCTCTAGGAAAGGTAAATATAGGGATAAATGGTCATAATTTTGGTGCATACACTAACTTTTAAATCTTGTATAGAATTTAAAGGACAAAAACTAAGAAAAAAACAAAATTAGTATCCAATATAAAAAGATGAAATTTGTAACATTAATAAAGTTAAATTGAATTTAGAACTATAAGGAGTAGACTCTTTGCATGTAACTAAAGTTAAGTTGTTACCAGTTTAAAATAAACTGTTATAACTTTAAGTGTTTTATGTAATTGCAATGGTAATCACAAAAAATTCTGGAATATACACACAAGGAAAGAGGAAGGGAATCGAAGCATGTCTCTCTCTCTCTCTCTCTCTCTCACATACACATACACACACACAGACACAGAGAGGACTGCAAGAGAGGAAATGAGGTTTAAAAAAAAAAACCTGCAAGATATATAGAAAACAATGAACAAAATAGCAATAGTAAATTCTTCCTTTTCACAAATTACTTCAAATATAAATGGATCAAACTCCTCAACCAAAGGCAGAGATTGGCTGAATGGATTAAAAAACAGGATCCAAATTTATGCTGTCTACAAGAGAAACATTTTAGATCTAAGGACACAGATTGGCTAAAAAGAAAAAAATGGAAAAAGATACTTCATGCAAATAGTAACCAAAAGGGAACAAGGGTGACTATAGTGATATCTGACAAAATATTCTTTAAGTGAAAAACTATTACAGGAGACAAAAAAGACACTATATAAATATAGAAGGGTCAATTCCCCAAGAAGATGCAACAATTATAAATATTTATGCACCAAATGTTAGAACTCCCAAACATATGAATAAAACCCCAAAGAACTGAAGGGAGAGCTGGACAGAAACACAATAGTAGTAAGAGATGTCAATACTCCACTTTCAATAATGAACAACAAACAGAAGACAAACAAGTAAATATAAGACTTGAACAGCAGGATAGACCAACTGGACCTAAAAGACATATAGAGGACATTCTACACAACAACAGCAGTATACACAGTCTTCTCAAGTGCATATGGAACATTCTTCAGCATAGACCATTAGACCACAAAACAAATCTTAACAGTTTAAAAAATCTTGAAATTATGCAATGCATCATTTTCCAATCCCGATGAAATGAAACTAGAAATCAATTACAGAAAATTGGCATATCCACAAATATGTGGAAATTTAAAAATATGCTTTTGAAGGGTCAATGAATCTAAGAAGTTACAATGTAAATTAGAAAATACCTTAAGCCAAATGAGAATGAAAACACAATATATTAAAACTTGTAGGATCCAAAAAAACCCAGAAAAGTATAAATGCATACATTAAAAAGAAGGAATATCTCAAACTAATGTTATACCACAAGAAACTAGAAAAAAGAAGAAACTAAAGCAAGCAGGAGGAAAAAAATAATAAGTATTATGGCAAGGATGAACTAAATAGAGAGTAGAAAAAATATTAAATAAACAAAGATGGTTCTTTCAAAAGTCCCCTAATGAATATTGATGCAAACATCCCCAACATAATACTAGCAAACCAAATCAACGGCACCTTGACTAGGATTTATTCCTAGAATACAAGGATGGCTCAACATATACAAATCAATAAATGTGATAGAACATTTTAACAGAATGAAGGACAAAAGCCACATGATTATCTCACCTGAGGAAGAAAACAAATTTCACATGATCCAACATGCTTTTATGATAAAATACTCAACAAAATAGTAACAGAAACACACTACCCCAATATAATAAAGGAAATATATGAAAAGCCTATAGCTAACATTATACTCAAGAGTGAAAGCCTGAATTCTTATCTAAGAACAAGAACAAGATAGGATGCTTGCTTTTACATTTCTATCCAAAATTGTATTGAAAAACCTGGCCAGAGCAATTAAGCAAGAAAATAAGCAAAAGCCCTCAAATTGGAAATGAAGAAGTAAAATTACCTCTATTCCAGATGATGTGATCCCATATGTAGAAAACCTAAAGATTCCAGATGAAATAAATTGTTGGAACTAATAAAAAAATCAACAACATTTCAGGATACAAAACCAACACTCAAAAATAGAATGGGTTTGCATACATTTACAATGAGTAATCTGAAAAAACTTTGAAAACTATTCCAATTACAAAACTATCAAAAAATAAAATATTTAGAAATAAACCTAGGCAAAGAGGTGAATTACTTATACATTAAACTGTGCAAAATATTACTAGAAGATATTATAGAGGATACAAATAAATGTAAAGACATCCCCCATGTACTGACAGAAAAACTTAATAGTGCTAAGATTTCATTACTCCTCAAAGCAATCTGAGATTCAGTAAACCCTCCACCATCATCCTGAGAGCATTTTTGCAGGAATAGAAAAAAATAATCCCCAAATTTATATGGAATCTCAAAGGACCCCAAATAACCATAACAATTTTGAAAAAGAAGAAGAAACTTAAGGACTCACATATTCTGATTTCAAATTATATTACAAAACTATGGTAATCACAACAGCATGGTAGTTGCCTAGAGACAGACATAAAGATGAGTAGAATAAAACAGAGAGAGTGAAACTCAACAAAAATAAATAAATAAATAAAAATTGGGCAATTGACTTGCATAGACATTACTCCAAAAATACATACAAAAGACCAACAAGCATATGAAAATATACGCAACACATTAGTCACCATAGATGTGCAATTCAAACCACAATAGGCTGTTACCTCATATTCATTACGATGGCTGATATTAAACAAACACACAAATGGATAGAAAATAACAGTGTTGGGAGCGATGTGAAAAATAGGATGTGAAACATTGGTAAGGTCATAAAATAGTGCAACTGCTATGGAAATCATTCCACAAAAAAATAAAAACTGAACTACCATCTGGTCCAGCAATTCCACTTCTGGGTATACATCAAAAAGAGATAAAATCAGGATCTCAAGAGATACATGTGCTCCCATGTTCATTGCAGCATTATGCACAATAGCCAAGATATGGAAATACCCTAAATGTCCATCCACAGATGAATGGATAAAGAAAATGTGGTATATACCTACGATTAAATATTAATTAGTCATAAAAAGGAAGGAAAGTGTTTCATGATACAACAGACATTAACCTTGATGACATTATGTGAAGTGAAATAAGCCAGTAACAGAAAAACCGAATGAATCCACTTATATGAGGAATCTAAGTTGTCAATTTAAGGGAAATGGAAACAGAAAGTAGAATGGTGGTGATAGACACCAAAGATAAGTACTTTAATGAGTACAGATTTCCAGTTTTGCAAGATGAAAAGTTCAGGAGATCTGTTTCACATCAACGTAAATGTAGTTACACTACTCAACTGTACACTTGAAAATGGTGGAGATGGTAAATTTTATGTTATATGTTTTTTTCCCCACATAACAAATTCCTTTAAAATTATAACAT